AAAAAGGGGAATCGCCTGCAGACGTACTTTCACATTTAGATTTGAAAAATCATGTCTAGAATTCTATGCATGCTGGGCATACAATGCACACATTTACGTGCACCTACACTTTCAAAAAGTAATTGAGGCTGCATTTACTTTGCTTGACAGACTTAAGAAAATTTAGCACTGGAAATCCCACTCAACCAGAGTCGTTTAGACTGATGGAAATGTCAAAATTTGGATGTCTATAAAGCACAGTGAAGTATTTTTAAGAAAATAGAGAACATCCTTGTTCAGAAAATGGGCGACGCTGAGTAATTACCCTGATTTCATCGAGCAGTTAGTTAAAAATCAAACAATCAATAATTGTGTAATTTAGTATTATCAACTGACTTAATAACGTAAATTGGCCGCCGTAAAGAGTTTATAAGCTACAGTTTCGAGCTTCAGCCCATCGTCAGAGCGATGAAATTACCCTATTATACTCTCCCTCCGAAGCAGCACCACAGGTTCTTTAGAAACTTACCCCCTTTATTCATAAATCAATAATTGTATTCGGGATACGCAGTGAATCACGAAATGAACAATACGAGACAAGTACTTTCCTACTTTGCTCTTTACTAGATTGCATATCATCTGATACACGAGCAATGGGCTTGTGTGGGATTTCTATTGTGTTCGTTCTTCTGCATTTCCTTTTTCGGTTTCCTATTCCCTACCCTATATACAATGCCCTGACTTGTGCTCGAAATGCGACTTACCGTGAAGTCTGAATGTAATTTCTCGTATGGAGGTATGGACAGACGGGACGGACTACTTGGTCATGACTTTAAAACCCAAATTTTATTGGCTTGGTAGGCAATCAGATTTTACTTCGATATAAGGCTCTGCTGAAGGAATTCAGTGCGCTCCAGCTCTATTTGGCATCAGCTACGAGTCAGTAAGGGCTCGAGGTAGTCAGATTTAAATGAATCAGTGACAAAAACAATCTGCTTCTCGGGGAAGTTAACAACTTGTCACTCCACTAAAGAGTTCGATTGACTCCGTCGTTTCAGGATAATCTCTCATGGGCTCTCTCAATTTTGGGTGAGATACGAAGTCAACATTTAAAATAACTCTTTGTCTACATAATAGTTTGTCCCAATGGCATAACGAACATCACAACTTCCAGTGGTGAGCTTGAATATCCTGAGTCAGGTACTTATGGTAAGAATGAGACCAAATGTTGGAGCATTACGGTTCCCGACACTTATGCTGGCATTCGATATCATTTTTCCAGGTAAGTTTTCCATGTATAACACTCGTCAGTTACATGCAAACTCTGAGGCTCACACTTCAGTTCCATTTCATTTGATGCTGCCGTCATCATCATCATCTAAATGGACATCTAAAAGCAGAGACAAGCAAAATCACAAAGTCATTACATAACAACTCAGAAAATTACCTTTAAACCCTCTGAAATATGGTATTAGTTCCCAAGAGGATTTAAACATGATTGCCTGGCGGGATTAAGCGGGTTTTTTAGACGGCGTATCTCCAACCTTGTAGCTTGCATGCTCTTAAAAAGAGCGAAAGCAATGTCAACCATCTTGAAAGAATATTTGAAAAATAGAATATGTAAAAGAAAGAATATTTGAAAAATAGGATATGTAAAAGAAAGAATATTTGAAAAATACCGGAGCCACGCCATTTTTTTTCGAAAGCTGCACGACCAGCGTGGGTTTTCTTTTCTTTCCGATTACGGTACCAAATCAGAAAGAGAGGACGAAAGTAAAAAAAATATTTGGTTGATAATACTGTAAATGATTGAGGCGTAACGCTTCAAGTAACCGGCGCAATTACCATATTACCTTTCGTGTTTTATTTTGATGTTATGATAATGAATGATAATTATGTTGATGATAATTAAAACAATTTTCAATCATCAAAACAATTGTAATTATCTTTATTACACTCATTTGGAAATCATTGGAGATCCTTGCAAACTACTTGCCTCTCATTGGTCCGATTAAATCGCGAATTTCACCTTTTTTGTATAGGTAATCACATGATTTCGAGTGCAATTGCACAAAATTGCACTCACCCTACGGGCTCGTGCAATTTCGTTAGTCTTTGAAAACATTTGCAAGTGCTTATTTATTCCAAATTGCACGAGAACAATCATGTGATTACGTTTTATAAAATACATGAAAAAATACGAGATGGCTTATCATAATTATGCAGAAGCAAGGCGCGCGCATCAAGTGCAAAAATAATTTATTCAAACCCTGCAAGTGACATTGTGCGTTTGGTCAAAATAACTGCGTACGATCAAAACAATAATATACAATGATATTTAAAATCTTTAAGGCGCAATAAAGTTTAAAGTCTGGCTTAACAGCTTAAGGAATTGTTAAGTCTGGTTTGTTACTTCTTTTGCACTGAATTAACCCTCTTCTGCATCGAATTACTTGAAAACTGCATTTATCTTAACTAATCAGAACAGAGTAATTTTTTCATGTATCTTATTATGCTCTTAATCACATCCTTTTCTCAGTCAAAGAGAAAGCTTTACTAAACCACAACAACCAATCAGGTTTCAATGCTTCTTTAAAGTAACCAATCAAATTTCAGGAAAATGAAAGACAACTTTTGCAACTTTTCACAAACCAGCTCGGTACTCATATCAAACTCATGGGGTACAAATAGTCTTAACATGAATGTAGTGACCACGCCCACTTCAACACCCCACTCAAATCGAGTGTAATTTTCGAATGTTTTACCATAGTGCGGATTCTCTACGGAAAAAGCACTCAATGTACCTCTGAAATATTAAACTATAATATTGTGGCTTTCTATTTCGCTAATTTTCTAACTTGAAGGTAAAGTTTTTCCCTCGTCATTTTTACATTTTCTCCGAGCGGTTGCGTGAAATTAACAAGGCGTTTTTGATCAAAATACGACCGAGCGCAGGGTCTCGGGCGATATCTCTTTTACGCAGGCGCAAATTAAAAATGTACCGCCAGAAGCAGAAAGAGTAACAAATTTCCTTTGTTTTGATATGTAAAGTGTCGAACAAAAAGCAGATTTACCCTCGTCAAATGGCGTTTCAAAACAGCTGTATCTTCCTCCTTTCGATTTTTTCCTGTTTTGTAACGTGAAAGCAGTAGGAGAGGGATCGGGAAACTCAGAAAGCGCTTCGGGAATTAATCTGCCATCGTTTACTTACAAGATAAACAAGTAAGATTTGTGAAGTTCGTTGAAGTATGAAGTCTAAATAAATGCCTTTTTTAAGGTTGTTTGCTGGATTTTTCGTAAACTTCCCTGATTAATTTTTCGTTTCAGCTTGCTAATCTATACTATTTCAAAGCAATGTAAAGACGGAGAAGAAGAACCAGTCCTTTCAACAATCGTAAACAAAGTTTTTGAGCAATCAGGTATACGAGGTGTAATAATCAGTAGCCGCATATCAGAAGTCTTCGGAAAGAAAGTATTCTGTCTTCAGAAAGCTGTCAAGAAAGCTAGTAATCGTGGCGGAAGGCAATTAAATGCACTTCTTAGCAAGTTGGAAACGGGCCCTCGGTGTCGATTTAATATCGTATCGATCTCAATATCATATAGTTTGTATCTTTCTTCCGTGGATTTGCCTTTCTAACGAGAGATGTATGTTGAGTATTCATTGCAAAATCGCTTTGTTTTTTTTATTTCCCTCTTTGGCCTGTCCGCCATTTTGAAAATTCGTCACGGAGAGCATGCACATTACGTGGGGTCAGTGGTTGCGTACACCTGGAATCGAGAAAAACAAATGTTCGTCGCACTGGGGAAAGAGTTTGATATGGATCAATAAGATATTTGTGCAGAATAACTGAAAAATCCTGTATTTGAGCGACTGAATTTTGCGCTTTCACTGAAAATGAATGTAATAAAGCGGTAATTGAACTCTGTGTCGTACTATTTTGGTCTGAAATCATACTCGTGACTTCAAATGAAACTCGCGCTGCGCACCCGTTCGATGTTGAAATCATGCATATGATTTCAGACCTAATAATATACATGGAAAAATTACTCAGTTCTGATTGGTTTAAGATAAATGCAGTTTTCAGGTAATTCAGTGCAGAAGAGAGTTAATTCAGTGCAAAGAAAGAAACAAATCAGGCATTCTGATTGGTCAATAATCAAAGAAACTCACAGATAGCCAATCAAATGCTAGCCTTTGATGTCGCCATAAAATTTGAAAATTTGAAAATTTGCGAGCGAAACAATGGCCGGCGTTTTCAGTAGGTTTTCTTTCGCCACCGCAGCTGAAAAACAGCTTAAACAACGAAAACACTATAAAAAACATTGCTTTTTGGTTGTCAGTTTGGAAAAAGTGGTGTTTAGAGAAGGGAATTGCCAAGGAAATCGAAAATTACGAGCCGACCTAGCTTAACACTGCTCGAGCGATCCAACGCCGAAATTAAAAACAGTCATAGTTAAACCTCGGAAACGACGATTCCATTTTATCGAAAGTGCTTCGGACACAGACTGAACTATTCCTTGAACTGTTTAGTCGGACTTTGAACTTTCTTGCACCTTAAAGACGTGAAGATATCATTGCCTATTATTGTTTTGATCCTACGCGGTTGTTTTGACCGAACGCACGGTTTGAATTAATTATTTTTTGCACTAGATGCGCGCGCTTTGCTTATGTTTAATTATGATAAGCCATCTCGTATTTTTCCATGTATATTATTAACAAGTAATCACATGATTTTTCTCGTGCAATTTGGAATAAACAAGCACTTGTTAATTTTTTCAAAGACCACAAATTGCACTCGCCCTACGGGCTCGTGAAATTTTGTTAGTCTTTAAAAAAATTTACTCATGCTTATTTATTCCAAATTGCACTCGAAATCATGTGATTACCTATAAAAATTGCACTTTATTCATTTCAATTATATTAGTAATCAATCAATCCTGTAACGAGACTTTTAAGGCCCTACATGGTTGGACAAAGAATAAAAACATTGTAAATATATTCAAAATAATTTATCTTCTCCAGTAGATCAATCTTAACTTTGTCCTTAAGGTTGGTAAAAAGTGGAAACAAGTTATATCGGTTTCTGATATTTTTCCAGGATTGACGTAGAAATGTGCTCTGATTGTAAGTGCGACTATCTTCAAAGAGGAACTACCTACAGGCATTTTCACTGGTATTCTAAATTATGTGGACGATATAATTACAACTATTTACAGGGATATCTCTTCAACGTCGACTGGAGAACTGACTTTACCGAGAATTTTGGTGGATCGACGGGCTATCTTCGCTTCGTGTCGGATGATACTGTACACTACACAGGATTTAAGTTGACCTTCATGGCCATGTCCAGGACAGGTAGGTAATAACTATATAAAGATGGTCTTAATGGGGTGATGGCTTTTACGGCCAAAGGTTAAAATTTTAATAGCCATGGAGTCTTAGCCCAATGGCTGAGGTGTAACAGGGCACAAGCCTGACTACCCCATTCTGCAAAACAGAGTGCCACCAAGACAAGCCCTTTCCAGTCTCAGAGAAAACTCCAGTTGACCGAGGGGTCCAAAACCCTACCCTCCTTACCCCGGCTGACCTTTAGACACAGAGCCATTTGCAATACACCCTTCAAGGGGCCTGTAACTGGGCTGCATGTAGGTGCGAACTTGACGTTAACTACCCTCCATTTTCATTGACTAGGCTGGCTCGAAGGTGGGCACTGTCTTAGCCCACTGACTGAACAGTTGCCAGGCATAAGCGTGACGGCTGTCAGACAAAATAACGTAGTCAAAATAAACTAAGAAGCCCTTTTCGACCCACGGGCAAACTATAATTTGAGGTCGAGGAGTTTAAAACTTACCCTCCCTAGCCCTACGCTTTGGAAACACGACTGTCAGTGACCCACCCTACGTCCCGTCACTGGTTTATGCGTTAAGCTCGCCTCCATTTTCAATGGCTGGAGCCGGCAGACATTTGCAGCCCCGCCTAAGCCTGTTGCTTTGGACCCGCAAAGTTGAAGCCACCCGCAAGTTGTCATCTACCATTTTCGCACGACATTTACGCCCTAAATCTAAATTCGCCCCTCTACCATATGTATTTTAATGGTACTATTAAATCTTCATCAACTTTATTACTAGCAAGTTTTGATGGCTAAGTTAGCCGGGCAAGTAAATAAACATGTAATGAAGCGAGTCTTCATTGCGATTGAGGGTGTGTTGAATGGGGTGAATTTTCATGAAATTCCGACTTAAGTATATTGCGGTAAAACAAACTTACAAATGTAGAGTTCTTTTCTGGCTTCTTTGTTTTTATCAAATATGTAACCTTCATTGATTTCGTTTTATTCTTTATGTAGTAACAGACTTATTTTATTTTTCAGCGGGTAAAGAAAACTATCTGAATGCAAGCGAAGATGAAACTATTGAGTTTGGCACACCAAAGGTCGACGTAGAGAACTACCCCTCAGATTACGCAGAACAGTGGTTTTTAATCGTCCCTGAGGGACATACGGTACAGATAGACTTCGACACATTTGAACTGGAGGAGAGCGAGGACTGCAGAAACGATTATGTTGAGTTCCGTGAAGCATCCATCATGGCTGGTGATCCTAAAACAATAAATGGCTATTTTGGTCCAATCCTAACCAATCGCCTGTGTGGAAATACAAAGCCGAACTCGATAATGAGTCAAGGGAACATGGTTTGGGTTCAGTTCGTGAGTGACAGAAACTCTACCACAGTATATAAAGGACTCAAAGCTTCTTTTAAAGCAGGCTAGTCATAAAGATGAGTTTTGTTAAGTTTGTTTAGTAACGCGGCACGTAAATTCTTTTACATCTTTTCCTTTGCAAAGTAGAGCTCATTCAACTCTTAGTAAACTACCTATGTGTTTTATGACTTGACATGATCGCCGCAGGACAATGTTTGAGTTTTTCTGTTTGTTTGTGTGTTTTGAATTTTGTCTTTGTTTTATTTTTTAGAGACAGCAACGTTTTTCCTCTGTCTTGTCAACTAATCATAAAAAGGAACTATTTGTCTGTTGTCTTTACATCTATCTTTAAATCTTTCTCATTTTTCAGGACAGGGAAGCGGATTGCCTGTAAGCCGTCCAATGATGCTTCTTTTTCTCTCAGCTTTGATCATGCATGTGTCAAAGAACGACTTGTTCTAGTCCTGTCAAGTGTATCCAGGAGATGTCTTTAGATCGCTGAAGTTTTGAATCATATGCATTTAGCTAAATTCTGATTGTGGAATGAAAAGTTTCAAAGATTTGAGTGCGAAGTTTTGTAATCTTTTTTGGGAATCTTTTTTTTAGGTCATTTTTATCTCTCAGCGGATCGAATTTATCTGTGCTTTGTGGTTTCTTTTTTTTCGTAGTAAAAGTTTTTCAGATCAGTTTTGGAACTGAATCGATTTCATTTGTATGCATAATTTTTGTACAGGAAAAATGAAATTTAACCGGTGTGAAAGCCCTTGGACTTGAAAAAGCTTGAACAACATTATTTGAATCTTTGAAAAAACTAAGTATATATGCGTGATTAGCCAAGCGTGAGGACAAGACGGCAGGACTTTGTGACAGTTTTTTTTTCTTTTTTTGCATTCTTATGGCTGGGACGAAGTCAAGGTGCATAAATAGGCAAAAACAGGACTAAAAAAAAACGGCTAAAAAAAACAAAACGGGCATAACAACCAGCCATTTCGACCCAACAAGCTTGGTAAATCAAGGATTTATCATATAACAAACATGTATCGATTTAGTAAGAATCAAGCGTGACATATTACTTTGTGTTCTAATTTTGATATTTTCGGGTCTTTATAGCACAATAAAAGGTTCATGAAACTTGCTCATCTTCTCTTTGTTCTGACAGTCATCTGCCGCTTTTGAAGACTCCTTTGCCAACCTTGTCCTAAAATCACAAACATGGTAAATTCTCAAAGCAATTTTTTCTTGCGCGGGCAATCCCGATTGGGCAAGATGGATCGATCTTACTCGCTCAGTTAGTTAGAACAAATGTTAACAACTGGGTTGAAAACGTAAATTAGCCACCATAAAGAGTAAAAAAAGCTGACGTTTCGAGCATTAGCCCTTCGTCAGAGCGATTAGAGGAATTGTGGGTTGTGTGTGGGTTTATATGTAGAAAGTGGAGCTACGCCATTGGCGGGAATATGGTGACAGAAACAGGAATAAATTAGTTGAATGAAAAACGCTCATTGATTCCGTGGGGATTAAGGGTGCCGATTTTGGAAGATAAATTTTTGTTCTAGTGTTTTACAGCTTTCCGAACTGCCTAGATGTAAGGAA